GTGTGTGTTTGTGTGTGTGTGTGTGCACAAAAGCACAAACATATATGCATGAGCACAAACACATGCACTAACAGTGCTTCCTGTCATTATCCTATTCTTCCCGACACGCACCCCCCCAAAAAACCCCTGCTCATGACAATGTTTAGCTGTAGAGTTGCTGACCGCAGAACCCACCCCTCCAGTAGTGCCTCTTAAAAGCAGCTTGTCCTGCCCCTCTTAGCAGTGACCACTCCAACCCACAACCAATAGGTTCCTGCCGGTCACTCTATGGTTTCAATGGGCACAAACCAGCTGTTCCATGCCACCTAGAAAGCCCACCCTGGAATACTTTTGTTTTTGCTTAACTGGTGGCTAACCATGGGCAGCATCTCCCTCCAGGATTAAGCAGAGACAGAGAAGGTTAATGCTTTAGGGCTGCCCCTTCCCAAGTACCACAACCAACGTTGACAGTGGCCCTGCTGGGTGAAGAATTCTGAAAGCTGTTGTCCAAACCAGTAACTTCTCCAGTTTGGGAGGGAATGACTCCAAGGCAGAGGATATGGCACTTGTTGTTGTTGTTGTTAGAAAACAAGCATAGTATTCGGATACAACAGATATCTTGAATTTCAGAAATATTCACTTGATTCTGTGGCATGATGCCAAGGCATTTTGCATTTGCATTGAGCTAATTTGTTACTACTGAAGTTCTTTTTTTAAACTTAGTATATTTTTAGATCTCTTGTTTTTGGATCCCTAGAATGTAAGGTAAAATAGTCTTTTTATTCATGCCAACTACTCTTATTCTTTGAGGAACAATTTCCCTGCTATAAAAAATCTCTGTTCAGTCCTCCTACGTTCCCTAACTTTAAACTAATTGGGAAGCCAAGCTGGAAGCAAGCAGAAGAAACTAAGAGCATTCTGGGCCTGCTTTAATTTCCTTGCTGATGGCATTGAAGTTGCTGCTTTTACCTCTGACACAAAGATACAAGAACAGGGTATTAAATCAGTCTCTCTGGGAGAAGAAGCTTCCGAGTAACTCAGATTTTCTGGTTAGACAAATGCGGTCTACTATGTTCCCTCAACTTTGGACAAAAAAATGTTGCATATGGTGACATTTCAGTATACCTGTCTGTTCATGCATGTGTGCATTCATGCAATGGATCAGGCAGAATGAGGTTCAGTAAGAAGGTCACATTTGACCAGATAGGCGGGATATAAATGAAATAAATAAATAAATAAAGTTTATATAATCTTGATCCCTAATTTAAAGACTGATTGAACACTGTCCATAAACTGTCATACATTCTTAAAGGAATACTTATTATGCTAAATGCTATAATGTTTCTTTGAGTTACAATAACAGTAATGAATGGGAGATGGTTCTCATATAACGAGCCAAACCATAAAATTAGCCTACATGTTTACCATAGTGGACCTACAGTACTGGAAAGTGCCCAGCTCCTTCTAATACAGATGCAATACACATCGAAATATGCAAGAACATTTTCTGAATACCTAAGCAAACTAAAATTGCATTCCTTACTACAAGAAAATAAATTCTTAACTAGTATGTTGAGTCACCGTGACATGATTTCTCCTCTGTTAATATTCCCTTAGCATCTCAAACTCTAACCGTTACTTGGATATAAATTCCATTGCCTCCAGCAGAAGCTACTTCTTATTTAGTTGAGCTTGTGGGTGTGAGTTATTTTAAGGGCTTAAGGATTCAAAATAATGTTGGAATGTTGCTCCAAGTCATGTTTACCTCCAAATATATACACAGCATCATCCTCAAGTCAATTAAACCAAAGCATTTTGACATGTTCCTTTTAGTGATTCCAAGCCTTGTTAAGATTTCTGGAGGCTTCGTTATAGATAATGTAGGTTCCACCCTTAAAATTAACAGAGGTCATACTGTATTCAGACATGGATTGGGATTGGTCTTGAGCTGGGAATGCCCTCCTAGGAAGGAAGCAAGATTATCTCATAAACAACAAACCACTGTCTCAATCTGTCTTCAACAGAGAAAAGCAATCTGTAAGAAACCAACCTTCCTGCAGTGATACCAGTGACCTCTTGAATATAGGAAGCAGGACCTATGGAACTGGGTGAATGTCAAAAGGAGCAGAAATTCTGATTTTTAAAAGGCCATGCAGCCACTAAGCCAAGCGTGCATCGCTTGAAGCCGCAGACCTCAAAGAGGCACTTGGAAGAACAGCATCTACATTTTCCCAGAGCATCTTCTATCTTCTTGACACCAGTTGGCTGTCTTGCCAGCTCTTTAGATTTCGCTGCCAGGTTTTCACTCTGACTTCTCTGCATGCACAGAAATAAATTGCCCAGTGATGGGTTGTAAAAGGAGATCCCTGATTTGTATTCTCATTAGCGAATTAAGGAAGGAGAGATCAATCTTCTTACCTTGAACTGACAGACGCAAGTCACGGTGTCTCCGATCCTTAAGCACTCCCCATCAAATTTACAGGTATTGGTGTCACAGAGAAAGAGATCATTTTCTCTGTCATCATAACCTCAAACATAAAGAAAGAGAGAGAGAGAGAGAGAGAAAAAAAATGTCTGTCAGCATCGGTTTGGCAAGAGAAATTATGCAGAGCAATTGCTTTCTAATGTACGTGGCAGACACCTAACCTTGTAGAAAAAACAGCATGCAATCTACGTATGTTGTCTCTCATTCCCACTTTGTCTTCTTCTTGCCCATGTTTTCCAAGGAGTTTGCAGTCCTTGTGACTCTAGCTGCCTCTTCTCCACGCACACACCCATAAAAGTAGGTTCAATTTCTTCAAAATCAAGCGTAGGATTGTCAGAAAATACCATTTCCCCTCTGTTCCCTTCTGGCTACATCTTCTCACCAAATGTGGTGGGGGAGTGGGAATTTCTCTGGGCCACGATATAACAGGGAAAAAAACCCTAATAACAAAGATAAACCGGTGGTGTGCTTTTTGTGATAGGCTGTCTGATTCCAATGAAGATTGATCACCTCCAGGTTAATAGGAGGGGGTGCCAGGTTCTTCACAGAGCTGCAGAAAGAAACTGGCTCCTTCCTTCCAGTTTTGACAGGCAGGCTAAGAGATCTGGCTGAAAATTCACCTCACAGATGCCAGCTCAAATTTTAAACCTCAGCTAGTTGCCATCCTGTTCTGAGAGAGTGAAGTAAGGTCGGAAGCAGGACTGTATGAAGCAAAACAGCCATCTTTGGGATCCAAACCCATCAAGATATCAGTTTATTAAGATGCTTGTGTTCTTGGAAATATCTCAGGAAGGAAAGCATCACACATAGAGTAAAAGTGACTTTTTACACCTAACAACTCACCTATTGCGATAGCGATACCTGTGTTAAAAGGCATGGCACTCTTTTTATACATCTTTACTGATTTCTGGAACAGTTTTAACATCCAGGAGAGAGATAGAACTGGGCTAAATACTACATTTGCTGCAAAGGCTAGTGAGATTTGGGAGATGAGGACGTAATGGATTCCCCACTGATTTGCATTCAGATTTGACTAATTAAAATAGCCACACACAAACCATACATGTGAGGAATCTGCAGGCTTTGATCTATAATAAGGGCATATCCCCCCCTACATTCCGCATGGAGAAGTATACCATCTAAGAGTCTCTTAAAGAGTTAAAGACAGTGTGATTCATGTGAAACACAAGCTGCACCAAAAAAAAAAAAACCTTGCAAGTGCATTTGGAAATCTTTCAACGGATAGATAGATAGACACCCTCAAGTGTTTCTTTAATTAAGAGACGTGGGGATGTTGGTTTGGAAGAAAAGCTACTCCCACAAGCACTGGCAAAGCACGACTGTGGGGGGAAGCCCTGTACAACTGGTAAACACAGCTGATACAAAACTGCAATTAACCTACTGAGGACGAGGCTGGTCCTAGGAAAAGGCAAGTGATGGAGAGAGGCAATAACTCCCTACAGCCTCTTCTTTATTCAATTAGTACATTTCACTCAGACGGCATCTGGCAACCCATTTCAAACGGAGCTGAAACTGCCTGGATAAATAAAGGAAGCCTGTTTAATAACAACCTCCCAAAGAAGGAGAAGAAGGAAGAAGAGCTTATGGGGAAGAAGAGAATCTCTCTCCCCCCCCCTCCCGAATCCACACTCAGATTGAGTTTTGGGAATAAACACTTCAATCTGAGTTCTCTCCAAAAGAATAAGGTTTCCAAAAGTTAAGGCAAGCCAGCAAGGAAGAGAGGACATTCAGACAACTGAGTAGCTTTTTAAGAAAAGAAAGATCTGTGTATTAGGGGAGAGGTGTGGCTGGGGGCTCAGCTTCCCCGGTTGCCAAACTTGCTGCTTCTTGGAAAGGAGACCCAGCTTTCTTGAAAGATATCAGCACTTCTCCGACAGTCCCAACGTGATCGATCGCCTTCTCTTGTCTCCCTCTCCTCCGGCTCTTAACTTTTCATAGTTTATTAGAGCATCACCGCAGCCATAAAGAAGATCTGCCCTTCGGCCAATTCCCTGATCCCTAGCACCCCAAAGCAGACTACGCCAACCGACAGAGATCACCGTCTAAAGCCCATCGCGAGCAGGAGCAACTGAAACGGGGCGAGGAAGGGCCGCGAAAGGACCGAGGAAGCGACGCAGACTTCTCCCGCGCCGTCCCTGCGCCTGCAGCGCACCCTGGCCTTTTCCCTTGGAGAGGTGAGCACTTCTCCAGAGATGGCTGGACCCCACCCCACCTCTCCCCGGCTCTCTTTTCTCTCTCTTTCTCTTCTTCCGAAGCGCCTCCGTTTAGACACGGCTGGCTGGACCCTGCCGGCGGCACCGATCCTTCCCCAGCAGCAGCAGCAGATCGGCTGGGCTGGGCTGGGCTGGCGGAAGCTTACCGGAGCAATTCCAACCGGTCGGCGTTTGGCAGTCACTTAAGGAGGTAGGGAAAGCTGCAAGTTTCACCGGTCGGGCGAGGATGAGGAACATCACGGGCAGGAGCAACCAGCAAAAGCAATCGCCCAGGGTCCAGCTGCCGCTGCCGCTGCTGCACTGCCGAGGTGGGGAGGCTTCCCACAACACCATGACTTCTCAACTCAAACTCTGCAGCAGCGGCGGCGGCGGCGGCGGTGAGAGGGACAACTCCTCGAGGCGGATCAGGGCTCAGGCGGAGGAGGCGGGTGGCGAGCGGCAGGGGCTGGCCGGCTTAGCATCCCGGGGGCCCCAGCCAGCAGCCGCCTAAGAGGAAGCACCCAGGTCCTGGCATGGCGCTGCGGCGGGGGGCGCGGATCCTGGGAGTTTGAGCAGCGAGACGATCCAGGGGCCGCCTGGCCCAGCCCGGGGAGCGGCAGGAGCAGGGATGGCCGAGGAGGGGCAGGAGGAGGAGGAAGAAAGAGGAGGAGGTGGAGAGAACCAGGAAGCTGGAGCAGCCGCTGCCATAAGGGGTCGGGCTGGGTTGGCTTGCTGGAAAGCGAGTCCAGGCGCTCCGCAGCCAAGCCGCCGCCGCCGCCGCTGCCTCCTCTCCTATTCTGCCGCCTGCATCCCTCTGGCGTTGGGAAAGCAGCAGGTCCCTTCAGCCCTCCGGAGTCACGTGGCGCAGGCAGCGCCGGCCCTGATTGGACGAGCGGGATGCAGGGCGCAGCGAGCGAGGGAGGGAGGGGATGGGATGGGATGGATTGGGAAGCGAAGGGAGGAGGCGGAGGAGGAGGGAGGTGGCGGCGGAGGCAACGGCGTCTGGGTGGAGGGGCCGTGGGGGGGGGAGGGAGGAAGAGCGGAAAGGAAA